TATTTTTTGTGACCTGGAATGCCACAGTAGAAACATTTGTTGTTGTTTGAATAATTAGTATATGGTGTCTGGTAATTGTTTTGATGACTTTTCTGAAATTTATTGTTTTGCCATCTGGCAGGCAGGCTGTGGTATCTTCTATTTTGATATGTGTTTTGTTTTTGACTGTCCCTATCACTGGGTGTGTTTCTAATAGAGGCTAGTGTGCTGTTTCTATTATCTAGCTCTTCATTGGGGTGAGCATCTTTAAATGTTGTGATTGAGTCAACTAACTCACGCTCATTTTTAATCTTTCTCTCTTTAAGGAATGAAAATAAAGAGACTGATGCATTTCTTAATATTTTGTCTATGATAAACATATCCAGTAATGCTTTTGGATCATTTAGGTCAATTTCAGTTAATTCAAGCCATTTGACAAGATTGTCTCTAATATTGAATATGGTGGTGTTAGGGTCTACTTCTCTCTCTAGTCTTATGTTGTGGAAATTTTTTCTATAAATGTCTTCTGTGTTTCCATAGAACTTTAACAAAACTTTCTTTATATAGTTATAATTATTCTTTTGTTCTTCACTGAGTGAATTAATAATACTTAGGCTTTTCCCTGATAATCTGCTCAATAAAATATTAGCCCAAGTCTCTTCTCTATAGTTGTAAGACTGACAGATGCCCGCAAATTGTGATAGATAACTAATAATTTCTTCTTTATGTTCATTAAATTCTCTAAATTTAGGTTTATATGTGCTATTGGTTTCTCTATTGCTTGTTGATGGTGTATGCTGTCCTGATTCTATTCTAGCTCTTTCTAGTTTTATTTCTTCCTCTCTTAATTTCATATCCTGTTCTCTTAATTTAAGTTCTTCTATTTCCTTTTGTCCTTTTAATTTTAGTTCTTCTATTTGTTTAAGGTCGCTTCTCTCTAACAGTCTAGCTTCTCGGTCTTTGTCTTTGTCTTGTTTTTCCCTAAGTTTGTCCATTTCTCGAGTTACGAAGTCAGCTAATTTCTCCTGCTTCAAGCCAAGCTTCTCACCTACTTCTAATATTTCCAAGTACTCTGCCATTTTTTATGTGTAATGTGAGTAACTAAAATTATATTGTTATGTATCAGTATATCAGTTATCTCCTTATTCTTTGGTTATCAATTAAAATAGTTTACAATATTACATATATTTACATGTTAATGAATGTATACACAAATGCAAGTTGATACATGAATTATAAGTTATAAATAAGTGTAAGAAAAATTTAAAATAATTAAATTGTCTACTTCACAACATAAATACAGATATGTAGACGTTTACATGAATACAAATGAGACAACAAATACAAAAGTACTGTTTAGTTTATGGACCACAAGATAGTAGAAAATATGACAGTAGGTTGACAATATGTATAACAATGACAAGACAAATAGCACAAATATGACAAGATCTACTAAAAAACAACAGTTATGACAATGTACAAACTAGACTTCACAGCTAACACAGAATTATCCTACAGTGTTATAAATAGGGCCAGAAGAAACCTTTACCGTTTTAATAAAAAAACTTCCCTAGGAAAGATAACACCGTGGATATTCCTAAAGTATACTCTAAAATTAAACTTATATTATACAGAAAAAGTAAAAAAAATTTACTTAATCTAATTAAGTATTCTATAAGTAGATTTTTAAAGTCTTAAATTATATATAATACATAACACATAAATACATAAATACCAAGTGTTTAAAAGAAATCCGTAGTTGGTCACCTCTGCTCCTCTGTGACGCTATGATCTCTGTGTAGTCGATAATCCTTCTATGTAGATAGTGTACTTGGGTAAATACTCCAATGCAAAAGTTATATAATCCAATGAAAAAGTTACAACACAAACTGCTTCAGTAATCCAATGCAAGTACCTTGCGTAATAGAAGTAATAGTGTAATAATCCAATTGAAAATAGTGTACTTTCTCTCCGACTCAGTTGATCTTGCGAGTAATTAAAGAATTACTTTACTTGAAATGCGCACTAGGCTTTGTGCGGCTTGTATAAAGTGAAGATTATGCTGGGGAAATCTTACTTTCGATGTCTTGATACACACATCTCATCTGTAATAACGTCAGACTTCTACTTCTGTTGGTCTTGTAATATGTAGGCTTACAGTAAATCTTTGCTACAGTTGTAAATAACTTGAAAATTTTCCTTATGCTGCTAGTTGCCGTGTACCAGTTGGCTTTGAACTCTGAACTCCCGTGACTGACCTCAATTATCGGCTAACTCTGTGTGTAGTGAACTCGTCTCGGACTTGATTAATACACGGTTGTAATGGCGTTCGCTGTATTCTTCCGCTTGAATTTTAAAATATATCATTGTTACTCAATGTTCTGTAACACATTTCTGACACTTCTTTACAATATTTGTAACGTATCATCGTTACACCGCTTCTGACACCATTTGTAACACACCTACTCTGACATGGCGTGGGAGCTTATTTCTTATGCTGTGGGTTATGTCAGTAGTATGGTTACTTATGTTATGTTGATATTTCAGGATGCCGACTAAGGCTTCTTCATTCTTCCACTTATAATCCGGGCACGCAAATAAGAATACTGAATCCTGGTTAAACTTACAGTACTTTATTGAGCACACTTTATATTGATAATATTAATAAATAATCCTTGCATGAATGTAATTTCATATATATATATCCATAGTACTCCATCATTAATAAAGACACGTCCTCACACTAAACTGTCAACTGTCTAATCACACAGCTCTCACGCTACTGACTCTACTGCTCTGCGCTCAGCTCTCTACTATATCAGTCA